CTTTCATTCAAAATGGAGTTTATTAACATAAATCATTCAGCTCCAAGTCAAACATATTTCGGTTAAAAACTCTTGACTGATCAAGTGAAACTCAACTAAGCTAAGCTACTATGTACAAAGAAGAAGGAAAAACATGGTTGAAAGTCAAAGAGGTGATGCAATGATATCAAAGTTTAGCATAGATTTTCTCTTGAATTTGGAATGCGGTCAAATTAGGTCTTGGCTAATTTAGAGCAAACCAATTCACAATGCAAATCCAAGAGGTGACTAAAACATCATTTGGCCAAATAATGTTTTAATAAACGATTTGGTTAATCAGGAGCCCATAACCTTTATTTAATTGATTCTTTATCTTCTTTGAGTGCGGTATCAGCGTGCAGATAATGACTCCTGTTAAATGACTTCTGCTCATAATTCGCTAATCAAAATGTAATGAGCATATGAGAAAAAATATGAAAGTTAAAGTATTAGTGTTTTAATTAGTGAAAGAAAGCTTGTTTTAGCTTTGGAGACAGCAGCTCAAAACATGTCAGCATAGCATACCCATCGGTTCAACCTGTTAGCTCTGTCTTTACTAAACAATAAACATATATAATAAAAATCATCAAAAATACATTGTTTAACCAGAGAATCTGTGCTAGAAATGCAAACCTCCTCTGATCTCTGTATGGAAGGCTTGAGTTTTCTCCAGTATTTAGTTTTAGCAGCTTTGCATGGCAGGCAGAGAGGAAGGGCCTTTTTATGTTCCCGCCAGATAAACATCAGGGAAGCTTTTCCTTTTTTTCACTGAACCCGTTCCTTTATACATACAAGTTCGAGAACCACTGGTCTAGGGTTTCCAGCCATCCCTTGAAACATATCAACCCATTTTTAGAGGAAATGCTGCATGCTTTGTGGGGAGGTGATCAGAGTGGGATTTGTCTGTATTTCTGATGGAATTAAAAAGTAAGTATTATTGTTGTTAACGATGTAAATGAGTGGCATGAGCTGTTATCTGGTCAACCTACTCCTGTAGCTGCCATCAGTGCAAACTTTGACTGTTTGTCATAGTTTCAGGCTTTAGGGCATTTAGGTTTTGGAAAGTTAAAACTGGTTGTTTAGAAGAGGGTTGAATGAGGAGGTTGTTGGGCCATGCAGTTTGTCTAATCTGAAAGGCTTTTTTTTTGTTCAAACAGAAAAAAATTGATTGGAGGCCTCATTGTTAATATTTTTTTATTTACGAGATGAAACCTTTAATTTTTCATCTGTATCAAGGTCTAATTAGGTCTACTCATTTATGTGCATTTGTTTTATGTGGAAATTCAGTGTGCCAATGTCAATAAAGCCTTTCCCACATATTTGACATAAAGGTTTCTCAATTGTTTGGCTTTTCCTCTGATCATTTAAATTACTACTTTTTCCACACGTCTTGCATGGAAAAGGTTTCCTATCTATATTGGTTCTAATGTTATCAACTGAATTACCAATCTGAAAGAAATCTTTTCCTCATGTCTTACATGGAAAAGCTTTCTTATCTGTGTGGGTTTTGATGTGATCATTTAAACAACTCATCCGAGAGAAACTTTTCCCACATGTGTTACATGAAAACGGCTTCTCACCTGTATGAGATCTGATGTGAACATTTAAATTATAAATTTTAGAAAAACCTTTTCCGCACATCTTACAAGTAAAAGGCCTCTCACCTGTGTGGGTTCTGGTGTGAGTATTTAAATCACAAATTTGAGAGAAACTTTTTCCACATGTTTTACAGGAAAAAGGTTTCTCACCTGTATGGGTTCTGATGTGATATTTTAAACTATTAATCCGAGAGAAACTTTTTCCACATGTCTTACATAGTAAAGGTCTCTCCCCTGTGTGGGTCCTGATGTGAGCCTTTAAATTATGATCTCTAGAGAAACTTTGTCCACATATCTCACAAGAAAAAGGCCTCTCACCTGTGTGGCTTCTGGTGTGAGTATTTAAATCACAAATGCGAGAGAAACTTTTTCCACATGTATTACAGGGAAAAGGTTTCTCACCTGTGTGGGTCCTGATGTGGTATTTCAAACTATTCATCCGAGAGAAACTTTTCCCACACGTCTGACATGCGAAAGGCCTCTCACCCGTGTGGGTTCTGATGTGAGCATTTAAATCACAATTTTGAGAAAAACCTTTCCCACATGTCAAGCATGTTAAATGTTTTTCACCTGAGTGGGTTCTGTAATGGCGTTTCATGGTAGACCTTTTCATATAGGATCTCTCACAAACGTCACATTTAAAATACTTTTTGTTGGTGTCAGTTTGAGATTGACTTTCTGAGACAGTGGAGCTACTTTCTCTTTGATCTTTAGTCTCAACCTCGGTAGAGATATGAAAAGAAGGATCCTCAGTTATTGGTTCTCTTTCATGCAAATCCTCTTCCTGAAGAATAAAAGTCTCCATCAAACTAATTGACTGCTTTTGGACAAACTGCTCCTCCTTCTGACTACTGACTAGGTCCTCGTGGTCCTGTCTAGCTGGTAAATGTTCCATTAGCTGCTGTTCATGTTTAGGAAGTGAAAAATCAATTTCCTCCTTTAGTTTAAGTAGTGGAGATTCTGGTTTCTCCTCTTCCTTTTTATCCCACTGAGGTTCTGGTTCATCGTGCTCTTCCATCAGTAGCAAATCTGGTTCCTTCAGTTCCACTCTAGTCCAAATAGACTCAGATTCCTCGTTTTCTTCTTTGATCTGAGGAACAGCTAGATCCTCTTCTTCCTCTTTAATCCATGAAGGTCCTGCTTCCCTCAGTTCTTTAATAGGAGGCATCAAATTATTGGACTGTTTCTGGTCAAACTGACAGCTAAGCACGTCCTTCTGTTCCTGTCTAGCTGGTAAATGTTCCAATAGCCACTGCTCATGTTTAAGCAGTGAAGATTCCTTTTCCTGTTTTATTTCAAGCAGTGGAGTTTGTGGTTCATCCTGTTCTTGCATCAGTTGCAAAGCGGGTCCCTTGTGTTCCTCTATAGCCCACGTAGACTCAGTTTCCTCATTTTCTTCTTTGATCAGTGGACGTCCTAGTTGTTCTTCCTCCTCTTTAATCCATTGAGGTCCTGGTTCCTCCATAGCTTTACCAGGAGGAGATGGATTGTTTGGTTCAATCAGATCCTCTTCAGTCCATTGAGGAACTACTTCACCCTGGTCATGACTGGATTTCCTCATCTTGTTACAAAGTTGATGGATGGCAAATGTTTCCTCCTCATTTGATCAATTTTGCTTCTGGAGTTCTGTGGGGGACAAACAGTGATCAATGAAAATAGGCAACTAGGCCTTTAACTGTAAAAACCTAGAAATGCATTTTGATACAAATTTACATTTCTGTGCAGTCAGTTCATCAAGATTATGAGCCAAAGTTAAATGAGCTTTTGTAGACTGTCAATGGAGCATTAGAGCCCCTGCTAAGCTAAGCTAACTCAGTTGTTTCAGAGAGTGTCTTGTTATTGCATGTTAACAGTGCATTTGTCAAATAACCCAATTATGTCAATGCAAAAGTATCTCTTAGATAAAC